GTAGCAGTAGCAGTCGTCATCGTCGTCGCAGCAATAACATGAGCACGCGCACTCCTCCTACTCCCGCAGCCACTACACCGCCCGCCACCCCATGCCCATGAACGCCTCAGCCCCCTCAACCCTACAGCCGAGGTCCCGGACCGTTTCGGCTGCAGAGTCTTCACCGCCGGCCCGGCGGTCGCGGGGAAGTAGGTCTCCTTCGCTTGCTTGTTTTAGCTGGCTTCTCTTCAGAGTCCAAAAGCTTTCGAAATTTGTACGTTTTCTTCCTTCCTAAAAACGCACTATCACAAGACAACATTGGGGAAGCGATGTTCAAGAACGGTGTGGGTCTGGTTTGGTCGCGGTGAAAGGTTGGTCCTTCCAAAATGCATGCCCGGAGGTTCGGAGCCCAGAGCCTGTTCCGGGTCTAGGACTTAAGGTTTGCGGGTTTCATTTCGAGTTTTCTGAGTTTTGGGTGCAGTGCACGTTTTGCTTTAGTCGGCTTCGGTTGTGGGGTTTAGCTTCAGGTCCTCCACAACCCTGAACCCTGAGGCTTGCAGCCTCCTCTCTCTCGCCGAAAACCTTACGCCTTACATCCTACACCCCAAAATAGTAGGTCCTACAAAAACACCCAGAAGCGCTGAAAATCCGCAGAGCCGTGACAAAACCCCGGCGGTGCACCTTCACCGCTGGGTCGTTCAACGGAAGGAGATCGCGGAAGCCTTGTGAGGAGTTGGGGTTAGGGTTTAGGGCCGATGTTTGGGGTTTCATAACTGTGCAAATGCAATGCAAGGTGCATCAAGCACGCGGCTTTTCGCATTTACTTGGAGCCGTTTTACGCCTGGGGTAGACTGCAGCCCGCTAGTTCCGTCAAGCATCCTGCACTGGGTCACGAGGTCCCTGTCAGAGCTTTCGCAGGACGCTTTTTGCGTGCTTAGCCGAAATCTGCCCAAAATGCTTTGCAAGGGACTGAGAGCCCCAGAAAGACGCCAAATGCAACGCCGTCTGCAGATGTCTGTGTGGACCTGTCTCATGCGCCGTGAGTTCGCCATCAAAGCGTGGAATGATGGACTTGTTGTCCCTCGAGCTCCACCCAGCAGGCACCTTGTAAGTCCCGGAGTCTGACCGCAACTGTTGAACCATCTTGCAATATGTATAACCGTAGCAAAGAAATATCTCTATGTCGACCACAGTAACTCCAGGCTCAACAGTCGGAAGGCACTTCGCCAAATACTCCTGGATGCGTGGCTGCAAGTTTGTCGCCAGCTGCAAAAGAACAACGATGCACCATTCTTCGCGCCTGGACCGCAGGGTATGAGTGCAAACGCCATCGTGCGAAACCGTTCATGTCCGGAGACACCCAGGTAGCTCAAGATTTCTTTGACGGTCAGCTCTCCAAACCCATCAATGCCACGCATCTTTGACACGAAGCTTGCTGAATCGGAGTTGAATGCAGCAGTCAGGGTTGGAACCCATGCATGCCACGCCTTCAGCATCAAGAACTTGTCTTGACTAAATCGCAGCCCCTTGTCACGCCCGTCACTTCCAAAGGACCTCAGCACATGGATACCACAGAACTGTGTATAAGACATGGCAAACTTGACCACCGCCATCGCTTGAGCTGGGCTTGCGTCGTAACATGTCAGACCAGCCGTTGCCAAGATATGTTGCCACGGAAGGCCGCCGACGCCTCCATCGCCAAGCCAGGTGTATAGCATCAGTTGCCACATTTTGTCCTGGTCCATAGCATCACCGCCGGCATCCAAAAATCCCTTTGCCCGCTGGCCCTTCCACAAAGCTGCTCAGGAAAGCGGTAGATCACCGGACATAAAACTGTTGAGGACAAAGTCTGCTTCCTGATGAGGCCCAGAATATATGCAAAAAGGACCTGCGTTTCCCACAGTGCGTCGTCGTGCCTCAAGTCTAATCCCACGGTGTCGGTCAAGCGTGCGCGCGCGTAGTTCTTTGGCCAGGTCCTCGACGGCGGCCATGGCTGACAAACAGTGAGATGTTACGGTTTAAGGTGTACCGGTGTAGGGCTATGAGTTCAAAGCTCTGCGGGCTGCCTTGGGGTTCAGGGCTTCAGGCTTTTGGGCTGGATTTCCATCGACTTGCAGTGTTGTTTTCGGCAGGGTAGCAGATCGTGGTGTTCTGCAGAGTTCTGAAGAATAGAACATCCAGGTCATAATAAGGCAACAAACAGATATAATACGACTGCACCAGCACTAGACCTTGCTCAAGCAACCAGTCAAAGAGGAACACATTGAATCCCAGCTTTAAGTCTTCGACCCTGAAGCCCGAAAGCAATCAAGCCCAACAACAGGGATGCTCGATGCTAGGATTGACATGTTGGCATTCCCACACACTGCCGTTCTGGTGGAAATAACACAGACTCAGAGTCAGAACACTCCGGCAGACAACCGACCACCAACTCAGAAGCAGGCTCCAACGTGCGACTCTGAAAAAAACTCCTAGCAAATCATGTGCTGAGAATACACTCAGGACAAACGGAGCTCACAAAGAGAAAGCAGTCCCAAGACAGACCCTTCGACCTGAAGATTTCGATATCTCTGAGCTTTCAGAGTGTGGTTACAGCCGCCTTGTCGGGTTCAAGCTGGCTGCGTTTGCTGGGGCCCTATAGGTCCTCGTGAGTTGTAGCGGCTATGGCAGATGCGAGTTCAGGTTTTGCTGCGGACTTTGTACCTTAAGTCCTTCCGGTCTAGGGTTGTGCAAGCCTAGAGGCTCCTCAGCTCCGGTCGCCAGGTAAGCGTGTTATGTCGGAGCCATGCTTGGAAGCATTGATGACTTTGCAGCAAACACTGCAGATTAGGTCGTGAAAACTCATTGACCAATTCCAGCTTTCATTGACTCCAACCCTAAACAACCAGGTCACAATCCTTCTGTTCCGGCCTCTTCATGAAAATTCAGTAACCCCTACAACCCGCGTCTCCCCTCAACTCGACGCCCCAAAGGCCCAAACCCCAGAGCCTCAACCCCTGAACTGAAATCTGAAATCCTGGAGCCCCAAGGGGTTTAGGGTTTAGGGTACAGCCTGCCCTTTTGCTGCCAAGTGGCGGCTAAGAACGTCTTCCACCTCGGTGGGGGGGGGGGGTGCAAAGAGAGGATTTGAAGGAGCTGATGCTTTAGGGTTTAGGGTGTAGGGTATAGGGTGCTACGATTGAAGCTTCTGCAGAGTCTAGCCAATCACGTGCCGCAACACCAGACAAAATAGTTGTTTGATGGCTGCTCTACTTCGTCCACCGCAATAGGGAGGACCTTGCTCAACCCGCCTAAAGCTAACATGCGTGTGTACATGTGTGTATATATACACACACACACACAATCATGTCCATATATATATATACACATACA